TAGCCTAAAATTTAGAAGGACCACTGTGTAACGTTACGTGAATATCCGTAACAAATATACAGATCTTCTACTCCTTATTCAAAGAAGAAAAAAAAAAGGACATCCTTTTCAATATTTTAAGTTGTAGATAGAAGAAACAGTAATTACCCGACTGTACTCGCCAACGAAAGAGGGGCAAAAAATCTACTAATGATGGTGCATGAAATTGGATCAGAATGTCGTTTGGAAATCGGCTCACGAGGCAGGTTCTTTCTTTCAAATAATAATGTTCACCGTCTAATGTCTTTTAAATAACGTATACAAATATTTAGAACTCTGAGGTTAAACTCAGTTTTTCCAAATTGTCTTTATATTAATTATTGGATTACGAAAAATCGTATAATTGAAATGAAATATAAATTCCTAAATGTTTCCATGTGTAATACATTTTAGGTCATAAAAATAAACATTTCCCATAATTCTAAAACAAAACAAAAAAGTTGTTGTAAGCTATGTTTTAATTTATATGCTTATTTACTACAAGGAGAATGTCATTACATAATGATGACTCATAATATCTAGGAAATTCATGAAAATTTAGTCCTGTGTAGAATTTAGAAATCTTGTGCAGTATGTAGAAATAAGAGTACGATACAAGATTAGGCTCAGTGAATTATTTAGTTAATGAGTAATCAAGGAGTGGTTTAGTTCAGTTTAATTTACTGACTAACTCACATAGGCAGTAAGAGTTATTGCGTATGTGAGTTAGTCAGTATGTTTTTGTGACAATCAATTAGCGAGGAAATTCTGCATGTAATTATACAAGTCTAGTAGGCGTACATCAGTTTCGGAATTTCTGTTGAAACGTTGTTTGTGAAGTTAGGCCTATGAACGTAGCGTGTGCCAAACGTTGTTGACGAAATAAACTAATTCGTTATTATTACGTGTAATGAATTTGATATAGTTTTCACCAAATTATCCAAAAACCTCGCCCAATGACAGAACATGTTACAACAATATATATATATACACACACACACACATATCTATATATATGAAAGAGTAAGTTCGTTTATTTTGTTCGCTATAGGAAACCAAACGGTTGAACTAACAAATTTTAAAATGACTTCATAATAACCAGTTTCTTTACAAGAAATTTAATGATGCTATTTATTTTGTATTTGGTGAAGTATTTAATGACGAAATTGACAGTTAATTATTATTGCGCCATTTTTTGTAATAAACATATAACAATATATGCACAACAGAAATTAAATGATGAGATGAAAATGTGTTATAACGGCGAGTAGAAAGAACAACAATACAATGGACCTACAATATTATTGACTATTTGCAAACAGTAACTATGGAGACGAGGTATTAAAATAAAAATCAAGTCGAGAACATTAACAAAATTTTATAAACGAAAACCTCTCGCCGAGCATTGGCTATTATATTATTTCCTTGTCAATGTTCTCATCCTCATCAAAAGGCGTAAGATGACAAAAACAAGATCTTGAAGAATCTATCTCTCTCTCTCTCTCTATATATATATATAATAAAGAGGAAGTTTGTTTATTTTGTTCGCTATAGGTAACCAAACGGTTGAACTTACAAATTTTAAAATAACTTCATAATAACCAGTTTTTTTACAAGAAATTTAATGGTGCTATTTATTTTGTATTTGGTGTAGTATTTAATGACAATTAATGATTATTGCGCCATTTTTTTATAAATGTTTTTGTAATAAACATACAAACATAAGCACGTTTTGCACATAGAAAGCAATTTTTACCAACAGTTTTCTTTAAATAGTGCTAGGTGGTTTCATAAGTGATTTAG